CCTGGAAGCCACTGGCCCGCCCCAGCAGGGAAGCCCGCCAGCGCAGAGTGGCTTGGCCTCGCCCTCAAACTGCAGACTACTGCTGAAAACTCCCCTCCTTCCCTCCCGAAGGGACTCTGCGGCTGCAGAGGTTAAGGCATCTGGCTACGAACCAAAAGGTCAGCTGTTTGAACCCAACTGCCCACTCCATGGGAGAAAATGAGGCAGTAGTTCACAGCCTTGGAGACTCTACACAACAACGCAACGCACTGCCCTTGAGTCGGACTCGACTCCTAACGACCCCTCCTTGGGTGTCTGAGGCGATATCCCTACGGAAGTAGATTGCCCAACCTGCCTTCCCAGGAGTGGCTGGTGGGTTTGAACCGCCAGCCTTCTGGTGAGCAGTCAGATGCCTTAGGCACGTCCTCCCTCAGAAGTTCCTTTGGGGCAATCCCACCCTGCCCTAAAAGGTCACCATGAGTCAGAATTCGACTCTGGCAGTGGCTTCGGTTTTTCTGGTTTCCTTCCCGAGCATGTTTTTCCCTTTGAACTTGCAAATAAATGACCAAGGCGAAGATCCAAAAGTTTCTGCAAAGAGGGCCGAGTGCGGGCACATCCGTGTGGGTGATGATGAAGACACTACGAATACACCGCGCGACCAAGGGGCCCGAAGTGGTGGTGGGGTACCCCGAGTCCCGGCGCTTGGCAGCGGCCCCGGCTAGACAAACGCGAATAAGCTTCCAAGACAGCTGCATAATGGGGCGCGGACTGTCAGGCGCCAAGCGGCCACGATGCTCACAGGAAGGGGAGGTGTGCGTAATGCTCAAGCCCTCGAGCTCCAAGTGGGTAAACCGAAGCCCGGGACGCGGGGGGACCTGGCAAAATTGCCAGGGGCGTCCCGGGATCCTGCGCTCTCCGGCCTGCGGCGCCTCGGGGCGGAGAACAAAGCGCGGCCGGGTTGGGCTGGGGCCGCGGTGCACTCACCTTGTTGTAGAAGACCTCGGGCTGCGGGTTGGGGGCTGGCACCGCCTGGGTGCTGGCTGCAGACAGCAGGCGGCGGCCCAGGCGGGGCCCGAGGCCGGAGGCGGCCAGCGCGGCTGCGCGCAACATGCTGCGGCTGGAGAGGAGTGCGGACCGGAAGCGTGTGCGGCTGCGACCAGCGCGGGCCACTCGCCTGGAGGCCTCTCCACGCCCAGGCCGGGCGCGAGTGGGCAGGCGCGGGGCGGGGCGCAGGGGCGGGCCTGCTACCCCCCACCCACGCAGAGGCCGATGGGAGCCGGGTGAGGGGTAGGAATTGGGGTTGCGGGCTGGAGGCCTGCTGCCTTAGCTGGCCCTCTCGTTCGGCTTCCGCACCCGCCGCTGAACAAGTAGGTGGTGTTGACCTCAAGAACTCAGCAGACACAGGCTGAAACCCTAATGCGTGCTGGAGTAGACGCCTGAGCCAGAGCGACCCTGGCCCTGACTTCGCTGGAGGTTACACTCTAGTGGGAGAGGCGGACTGCAACCCAGCTGAGACCAGTGCAGACAGTGATGAGGAATGTGGAGCAAGTGAAGAGGGAGGTTATATGGTTGCTTTTACTTAACTTTTAAAGAAAACAAAAAACCTTTTTATTGTGTTTTGGGTGAAAGTTTACAAAGCAAATTCATTTTCCATTCAAGTTAATACACATTATGTTTCTTGACGTTGATTGTAATCCCTCCAATGGAACAGCTCCCTTCTCACTTCCTCCCTGTGGTTACCTTTTCCCTGTGACTTCTTTCCAATGTATTCCTGCCCTCTGAGCTTTCTCCCTGTGCAAATGCTGCCCTTCTGATCTCCCATGGTTGATTGTTCTAAGAAGTGCACCTCGCTGGTGTATTTGTTCACGTAATTGTTCACTTTGTGGGCCTATTGTTTAGCTGAACGTTAAGCCAGAGTTCAATTCCAGGCTCTAAGGGTGACTGGGGGGCGCAGTGTCGAAGATTTCACCAGTCTCTGTCAGACCAGTAAGCCTGGTCTTTTTTTTTTATTGATTCTGAGTTTTCTTCCGTATTTTTGTCCTTCTTTATCCTGGATCTCCTACACTGATCCCTTTCTGAGTGGCTGGCAGTGGTAGCTGGACACCATCTAGTTCTTCTGGTCCCAGGGTTGTGTAAGCTGAGGTTTCCATGGTCCACTAGTCCTTTGGACTGTTTCTATGCATCTTTGATTTTCTTCACTTTTTTTTAGCTCCAAATGGGAGACCAATAGTTGTGTCTTAGATGGCTGCTTGCAAGCTTTTAAGACCCCAGTCACTACTCACCAAAGTAGGATGTAAAACAGACTTTTTGTATAGTATGTTATGCCACTTAAACTTGATGTCCCGTGACTATGGTCCCAAGCCCAGAGGCCCAGTGACTCACTCCCTCAAAGGTGTTTGGTTGTGGGTAAGAAGTTGTCATATCTTGAGGGCACTGCTTTTAAGCATCAGTCAGGAAGTGACACAGGAGACCTGAACGATGAGAAGGAGCTGGTCAGGATGTATAAGATGCTGACACAATGTGAAGGGTATAAGCAATATGTGTAGAAGCTGTTGAACGTGAACCTATTTTGCTGTGTACAGTACAATATTACTACCATTTTAAATGTAAGGAGGAGCATTCCAAGGGGAGGGGCCCACACCTGCACAGGCGGTGAGATGGGAGCAGCCTGGCCTGTGTTGCAGAGATGGAAGGGAGCCCCACACAGCAGGCCCGGAGAGCCACAGACAGGGTCTCAGGCAGCGGAGAGGACTTCGGGACAGATGGCTTGCTTGATTTACATTTCTTGTTCTATGGAAAATAAGAGTACAGGAGGACAGGGGTGGAAGCAGGGATTTTACACACGGTTTTATTCCACAAACACCCTGGATCTGGGCATTGGGGACACAGGGAGGAGTGCCAGGGCACTGGCTAGGAAGGGGGACTGACTTACGGCCAAATGTGTGCGTTTCAACCAGATGAGTGTCAGCCAAAGCCCAAGGGTGAAGGAGGAGGAGGAGCCTGTGGGAGGAACCACTCTGTGGCTAAGATGCACCTGTTTTGACAGCAGAGGAGGGGGAAAGAGTGCGTCCAGGCAGTGAGTGTCGGCAAGCAAGGCCACTGCCCGTCTGCAGGCTCCTTGCGGTAGCAGAGCTGACAAAAGCAACGTGTCCTTAGAGGCCAGGGGAGTGAGGGGGGAGAAAGTGAGCGAGCAAAATGTCTCTTCTGAATGTGGCACGTTGGGAGAGGTGGGAAACATTTTCGTGGGGTAAATGTTGTCCTGTGCTCTTCCGGAGAAGCACCCCATTCGAGTAAGAAATAGTTGCTCCATTTCCTTTTAGGAGATGCACAAGTTTGAACTTTGAAATACTCTGAAACATTACGTTGTTACGGTCCACATGTGTGTTTACAGGTTGGATAAAAAAGAAATCCAGTTCCACCTACTTGCTAAGGAGGTGGTTAACTGAGGTCTCCTTCAGGGTCACTGAGTGGTGAGGTCTGTGAGGCTGGAGGTTGTTCAGTCCATTCCAGGACACCAACAATCTAACTTAGCTTTTTGTTTGCAAACAATGGATGGTAAGTGAGGAAACTCAAAGCACCTTTCAAACAGGAAGCCCTCCCCCTAACAGGAGGGAAATGTGGTCCAGCTGTGCCCAGCTGCCCTCCTTGTTTGCACACACCCTGAAACTTCAGCAGCCAGCGGGCTCTGTGCACCCCTCCCATGCTGCCCAGCCCCCACGCAAATGCCTCCGCGGGCCTTACCCCTAATGGGGCAGCTAGGAGGTACTCCCAGGATGAGCTGGCTTTTGAAACAAAATCATCAGGAGAAATTACCAGATTTTCTTCTGGGCAGGGGATGCTCTCTCCTGGACTGGGAGCTTCTTTTGCCCCCAACTCCTCCTTTTCCAGCTGAGGCAATCAGCTTCCCTCTCAGGAAGCTCCACGGGGGAGTGGGGGACATGTTGCCATCCAGTCAATTTTGATTTATAATGATCCTATGGGACAGAGTAGAACTGCCCCCACAGGATTTCCAAGATTATAACCTTTATTGGGGAATTCTGGTGGCATAGTGCCTAAGATATCTGACTGCTAACCAGAAGGCTGGTGGTTCAACCCACCAGCCACTCCTCGGAAAGAAGGTTGGGCAATCTACAATCTACTTCCGTAGTGATACCGCCTCAGAAACCCAAGGAGGGGTCGCTATGCGTCAAATCGACTTGACGGGCAGTGAGTTTGTTTTTCGTTTTTGGTCAGAAGACCGTGACTCCAGAGCAGACAGAGGTAGGGGGGAAGGCACTGGGGCCCAGGCACACCAGAAAGCCACAGCTCCCTTGGGGACAGTGTGGTGAGCAGAAGTATGCGAGCTAAGCAGCAGTGAGGTGGCGTGTGTGCCCTCCCTGTGGGTGGTGCCCTGGCAGGACCCCACAGACCAGGGGGCCAGGTGGCCACACAGGTGCCGAGACAGAGGATAGGACATAAGCATTTACTCCCCAGTTGTCTGCATGACAAAGAAGGCGCAAAGAGTTTCGGATTTTTTAATTATTCTTTTATGTCCCCAAAGGCCCTTTCCAAAATCACATTAGTGTTCCATGTGACGGACATTCAAGCAAATGTCCTGATATGGGTTTCATCCATTGCTAGCAGTGCCCTGGCCCTCGGCTTTCGGGAGGGCCCATGGGGCTGTTTCTAGACCAAACATGGGCATGTGGACCTGGACAGAGCCCAGGTTCCCACAGCCTCACACTCCACAGCCTGAGAGAGGGAATGTTGGTGCCTAGCCCGCCATCAAGCCTGAAAATCAGCTTCCCAGGCTCTGTACCAACCCCCTCCAGCTGCCGGCTAAACCCCTCTGGCCTGAAATAGCAAACTCGGGGCTTTCACAGAAATGTCCTCCACGAGGATCCCAGGAGGGTGAGTGTGTGCACAGTGACTGGCCTGGGAGAATCAGCTGCTGGGCTGGACCTTTCACGCTGTGGGATCCAAGCTGTAGGTGGCCGCTGGCCCAGCACAGCAGGGACCCTTGGCTCCTGCAGTCCACAGGCCTAAGCGTGAGTCTTCACTTCCATTTTGGCCACTGCCACCTGTTGTACTTCATAGGGCCCGTCAGCAAAGTGCAGTGCTCGAGCCCAGGCGAAGAACTGAGCCAAAGGGTAGTCGCTGCTCAGCCCGGCTGCTCTGAAGGCCAGGAAGACACAGGGAGGAAGCCCTGGGTGAGCCCTGTCTCCGAGGCCTCGGGCCACAGCCAGCCTGCTTGGCACTGAATGTTCTGGGACGATGACACCGGCCCTAACAGATGTTCCGGAAGACCTGAGTGGGGTCCCACTTGCTGCTCTGTGCATACCATCCTCACCGAGTTTACCCTGCAGGGTGGCAGGGTGAGTTCCCACCGGGAAATCTCCCTTGGGGCCAGCTGTAAGCTGTGGGAGGGGCCTACCGTCACATCATCCACGTCCAGCCACTTGCAAGCTCAGTGACCTTGGACACTTGACCTTTCTGTGGGGATCACTGGCGGGCCCGCCGCCCAGGGGTTCTGAGAAGGAACAGGAAACAACTATGCACACTATGCAGGCGACAGAGGGCCACACGGGAGCTCATGGAGCTTGGGGAGCTGAGGCAAGTGCTGTACTTGCTGTGAATGGTTCAGACACACCCACACCTGTGGCCATGTTCACCTGAGTCGCTCGATCCATTACTCACCAGGCCGTGGATGGAGCTACCATTTTAATCATGGCAATGTCCAAGGCTGAAGCCTGCAAGGAAGAGGAGAGGACGGGTCACGAGGGCATGCCTGTGGGTAGAATCCTTGGTGATCAATCCATCAGACAGAGGGAAGTAAAACCAACAGCTGAACAGAGATGGCCGGTCCGCTGGACTATAAGCCCTCCCTAAACCCAAGGGTGTATGAGCGTAGCGTCGGTGACGAAAGGTGTCGAGATGTCCCTTCTCCCCTACTTACTCTTAGTTTGCCCATCACTGATGCCAACACAGAAGCTCTGGAGGTGTAGTGCCTAAAGTATCTGACTGCTAACCAGAAGGATGGTGGTTCTAACCCACCAGCCACTCCTCAGAAGGAAGACTGGGCAATCTACTTCCATAGTGATACTGCTTCGGAAACCCATGGAGGGGTTGCTATGAGTTGGATCTGACTCAACAGCGAGTTTGGTTTCTTGGTTTGGACACAAACACAGCCTGGGAGTCCAGGCCTGCGTGGGCTGAGGCCAAGGGGCCATGTGTTCCTATCAGGCCCATTGACTGGGACCCAGAAGTTCACCACGTCAAGGTCAGTATCTATAGCTTCCCCAGATAATTCCCTCCTTCAGGGCCTCTATTACCTGTAAGACCCTCCAAGGAGCCCCCTCAGCCTCCTACTTTATTTCCGGTCACATCCATGAAGTGGGCAGCTTTGAGCACCAGCAGTCGGGCCAGCTCCATCTCCACTCGCGACTGGGCGATGTCAGCCAGGAGCGTGCCCTGCTCCACCAGGGGTTTCCCAAAGGCCACTCAGGGCTTCACCTGTTGACACAGGAGACATGGGGCTGAGGACATGCTGGGCTGAGGGTCCCACCACCACTGAGAGGCATGGGGAGGAGTGCACACACACACAGGAGAGGGCAGGCCTCGCTCGGGGGCAGGGCAGGACATTGGGAGACAGAGGCCTGTAGTTACCTCCCACTCCCAAGCCCCAGGTTCCCAGGGAGAAGTGGCAGGGGCAGACAGCACTCCAACCCACTGCGCCAGTGACTGTGCAAAGTGCCGCCAGGAACCTTGCTCGGCTGCCTCGGGGCAGGAGGGCAAGGCCAGCCCCAGGCAAGGAGCACTCTTCCTAGCTGAGGGGCAGCTGGCCCAACACTACCTTTTTTTTTTTTTATTAAATCAGTGTTAAGTGGAGTTTATCAACAGTAAGTATGAGATAAAGAGTTGTTAACAAACACAACCAGTGGCTGTGGGATTGGTGTGAGGCATGTCCCTGCACACACCCTCCCAGGGCTTTCTGTGTATCCTCAGTGCATGGTAGACACACCCAAAGCCACTGCTGTGCAGCCCAAGGGGGTCTGAGTCCCACCTTGCAGCAGGGTAAGGCTGTGTGACAGATGCCGATGTTTCGGTCTGTAGTGTGTGAAAAGAGACTTCTGAGCTGCAGGGTGGAAGGCAGCTCTGCTAAGGTCACCGTCAGCAGCTGGCACAGCAGTCGGCTGCGGAGCCGGGGGCGCTCTCTGCCGACCCAGCACCGGCGCGTGGCCCACAGCGCCTCGGGGAGGAGTGCTGGTGCTAGAGCCCTGGGCAGGGAACTCGCACCTGTGACGGCGACTTTGGTCTTTGAAAGACACAAGGCATCAGAAAAGGCTGCAGGTATTCTTTTTCTCCGTAAAACAACTGATACAGCAATAATATACCTCATGGCAGGAAAAAGGAATTTTCAGATTAAAAAAAAAAAGACCCAGAATCCTCCTATCTAGTTATGTACAGTTAGTAATGGTGGTATCCCTCTAGACCTTTTTGTACGAATATACATTAGGAGCTCTGGTAGCATAGTG